CAGCAACAGCAGCTGTAACCACGGCAGCAATTTGATTCTAATGTCATTTACTTTTTTGCACGCTGCATAGTGATTGCATACATGAAACGTTTCTAGTTAACCAAGAGAAAAGTGAAGAAATTTCACAACCGTTTTGCATTAAAATATATTATCATAAAGAATAGACAGACGGTGAAGATGGTGATGAACAGAGAAAAATAAAAAAAAAATAAATAAATAAATAAATAAGAAAAAAGGACCATAATATTTTGCAAGTTTAGGTGAATGTGCCATGCAATCCTCTAAAGAAATGCAAAACGGGCGTTTCGCATTTGTTTGATATGAAGAGCTCGCTCGATCTTCGCCGCATTGTGCAGTAACATAATAAATTTTTCAAAGGCAAAAACAAATTTATAGCAATTGGATTGTTTAGTTGCACAAACATGCCTGCGAAGCCACAAACGCTATACACATATATGCGTAAATATACAATACACATATATATATATATATATATATAGTTACACACAGTCACAATCACAAATACAGATACATACACAGACACGAACACAGACACAGATCGAATCAACAACAATGAAAGTAAATATATTGAAGAATGAACAAATAAACTTAAAGTTGAAGGAGTGTAAGAGCGTTCTTGTAGTTATATCGTTTGGTTGCTTATTTCTGCCTATGAATATATGAATGTTATGAAAATATATCGGTTGTATTGTCTGTCTTTCTGCTGAGTTTAAAGAAAACAGAAAAAAAAAAAAAAAACAAGCTAATAAAAAATGCCAACCAAAAAGGTAAAACCAGAAAAAAAAAAAACCAACAACAACAAAAAAAAAAAAAAAAAACCCCCTTCAATAGTGCTTGCTGTAAGCGCTTTGCCTATATGTGCGCTGGTATGTGCTCATATACTGAGTTTTCTAATGCTTCTATTGTATTTAGCCAAATGGTATAGTACAGAGTGTTGATGCCTGTTGAAAGATAACAGCTTATAAAGGAAGTTCAATAGACACTTCAACTAAATGGGAATGAGTGGCAGGGCATTGTACTCCAATAACTTTATGAGTGCATGCGTGTATTGCCTCTTTGACTGTACACATGACAACATGGCAACGTTAGCTTGTCAACGACTTTTAATTTGAATTGTTAAATTGGTTGAAGTTTTAATCAACAGCAACTCAACAAAATTAGGCTCATTAGAGTGCTCGTAAATTAATATTCAACACCATTTCACTTGCAATTTCGCAAAAACTCAATTACATCATCTATACCGTCTTGTTGAAATCCCATCCATCTAACACATATTCAAAAAAAAAATGTCTACTTGACAAACTCAATTCGCATAGGAGGAGTTACATTAAGGACATAATTAAGTTTTTTTAAATCTTCAACAACATTATTATACCGAGTATCTCTGAGTATTACGGGCACTCGGCATAAACGTGAATGGACTTTAAGGCAATTGAATATCCCATCGCTGAAAGTCAATTTCAATAAAACACTATATATACATATATGCGTGCAAGTGTATTAAATGGGAAACAAATACGCCAACGTAGACTTAAAGGAAAGGAAAGGATATTGAAAAAACACTCTACATATCAGGGATAAACGCGTAGAGTCACTTTCCCAATCCCGATCAAAACTCCTCTGTCCGTCTAATGTCTGTCCATACATTTTTGCATTCAACTTACTAATTGCAGCGACATGTTTTCGCCCAAAAGCGCATACTGTTGAATATGATTCGCTTTGATTTTTCGCTTTTTCCATCACTTCCCATATAATATCTTACATTGAAAAGTCGTTCATTAAGCTATCTATGTGTCGACTATGTGTAACTCTG